TAATATCATCAAACAAAATCAATTCTGGAAGCCAATGGCCAAGAAGTGCACGGGAAATGCAAGTTGTGACGATTCGGACGGATTTTGTCAGTACGACAAAATACGATGAATACGCAGAAACTGTACCGGTAATTGACTGTTGGCTTTCGGACGCATGTGCAGCAGTTTCAACGCCAGTCACTGAAAAACGATCACTTGGAACCTCTAGAAAACCCGTATATAAAACAGGATAACCGCCTTGCACTGATACAGGAGCTATAGGACATCTAACAGGCTTGCTTACTGGGATGCGTTTTGCGTGATATCGCTTTAATAGTTGGATCTGGGATCTCTTCAGTGACAAAATCAAATCCTCAAAATGAACCTACAGATGGGGAGGGGCTACACGTCACTATGTTGTTAACTGTGCAGGAAAAGCCAAAACAAAATTTTATACGTCTAAAATTTCCATAATACATCCAAGCTAAAAAGCTGAAATTTATCACTTGCCCTCTGAAATGTGATAAAAAGGATTTTTTATTTCGGCTTCTTCCAGCTGGCTACAAAAATCCACACAAGTTTTCCAGTTAACGACTGCAGCGAGGTGTTCAAACACTCCCGATAACCAGTGCATAAAATTTTTTGTCCACTACAAATTTCGGGAACAATTTAAATAAAGCATTTCTCATCGTACTGAGGTATTGAGCTTTAACGAATTTCTAGTTTCGGCAAACCTGGGCGACAGGAGTTTGTGCGGTGCGACGCATCGATGGTGTTCGTCGCCATAAAGTTGATTCCCTGCTACTGCGCTGTGTATATTCATCGGCGAGCACCTGTCGTGCTACCGATGCGCCGCGGAACTCAATTTCAAACTGAAAATTAAGTCTTTAGCAGATCGAAGTTTTTTGATTATTTCATTCCCATTAACTGGTAACAGTAATTAATAGTTAATTGAAGACGTGAAAATTAAAATCTCCGTCTTCCATGTACAGTGGTATTGACGCAATTTAAATAGAGATATATTTTTTCAATTTAAATAGAGACATATTTGAATAAAAGTAAAGTAAAAGAAACACACATACAAAAAAGCAACAAAAATATAGGAAGAAATCGAAGGCACTTATATAAATGTATAAATAAAAAATATGATAGTATTAGCCAGGATAAGGAAGTAACATGCACAGATTATATGTTACAGATTATATAACAAGAGAAATGCATTTGAAATTTTTATCGAATTTAAATAAATGAAAAACAGAAAATCAATGAAAACCTTGGTAGCACAAACAAAACAGGCAGTGACCAGTTTCGCAATTTCATTCATCAAATTCTTCGTCTCCTGTATCACCGAATCAACCTGAAATCAACCAGCACATTTACAATGAAACACTTAAAATCAGAAGCCAACGCCCCGTCCACATTTTAATTTTCTATGAGAAGTGGAGGCACTTGGAAGCGGCCCGAATGATGTCCGAGTGTGGAGAGAAGCACAAGCTGATGGCAGTTTTGACTGTTTGTCATACGTCAGCAGTACTGAGTCAAAAATGAACTGATAATAAGTGAAAGTTTCAGATTTTCATGAAAATACAGCATACTTTGGAGAATGTGGCCGGCTTGCCAACTGTTGGACTTTTCACGAGCACTTGCAGCTGTTGACAGTGTATGGGAATTTTCTCCAGAACTGTTGATAAATCATTTTTCTCGGCACTTCCCGGGATCTGAAAAGCATCAACTCTGGCACTCGTTACCAGTTTCTATTATCATCTACGAAGGTTTTCGGTCAGTCAGGTATTAAAGATTACAGGTTTTAGGGGATAGCCAATTCAAGGCCATTCATGAATCTGAAAGTCCATAAAGCGTATGATCTGTACGATTACAGCAAAATCATTAGCTGCGATGATTACTTCACTTTTAAAATTGTGGTCGATTGAAAATAAATATGATCAGTTCTGGGAAGAGACTAGTCGGCCAGAAAGTAATACCGCAAAAATCCAAACCAAAACCTACTGGATGGAAAAACTTCATTTTTCGCAGGTTTTTTTTTTAGGAAAATAAGGTTTCACCTCATAGGAGAACTCGCGAACAGTTTTGTACATCTTATTCGCTTGTTCGGCAAAAAATTCCGCTTGCGTGAACAGATCATGCGTGGTTTTCAGCGGACCGTCACCTCTAGTGAATAGATACATGTTGTAGGCCATCGAGGACATCGCTTTTGCCCTTTTCACAATATCATTTTCGGCGTACTCGTCCCATTTTTCCGCTTCCGCATCAACTTCCGACGTCAATAATTTCATCTCCAGGCCAACTTTTGCTATTTTTTGTTGATCCTGAAAACGCATTTACCAATTATGCTTCACATACGTACATAGACACACACACACACACACACATACACACATACACACATATACGAACATACATAAACAACTACAAACACACATACATACGTACATACATACATAAATACACACACACATCCATACATACATACGTACATGTGTTCAACTTTTAAAATCGTCACGCTGAATTACCTCCACGTCAAGCGTAATCGGTTTTGTAGGTTTCTGCGTAGTACCATGTTTCTGAAAATTTCATTCCGATAAGCAAATTAACACAGAACAGATCTATAACTACCCAGCTGAGTGGACAGTTTTTAAAGCCAAATCAAGTAGTTCAGTAAACACCTCCAGAAATCAGTCAATATGCAAAAAAATGTTAGTTCCAAGGAGGAGGAATATACGCAACTCCATTTCACTGCTCTGGCCTTTAACAGTAATACCTCATAATCATTAATTATTCTTCCAAAGCCATTTTAGCCAAACTAATTAACAGTCAGCCTTATTGATATCTGACTGATACATTAGCATTGCTTGCTTCTTCGATATGTAATGGTATCGACACTCTGTACGTACGTTACTGGCATACAGATATTGCTGATTTTTTCACATTAGTTCCGAGAGTTTTTACGCACTCACACCGACTGGTATAGTTGTACTGCCGGCTTCTTCACGTGTATTAGTTTCCATAATTCAAATTTCTTGTATTTTTTGAACGCTCAAGTTTCATTAAAATTAATAAAAGAAGAAACTGGGCTTCAGTTGCGAGGAAGTTTCGTGCTCACAAAATTATGCGAAACTCTTCACATCATATTACCGCACAGAAATAACAAAAAAAAAGTGGGAGCATGCAGTAATCCGTATTTTTTAGTCAAAATTTAAAACTTTATAGAACTTTATTTGTTTCGTGGTCAAAATTAAGAGACTTCCGGTTATTCCAAGTTTTTTGTCAGAACCTATAGCCTGGTAATTTAACTGCCACCAAGAACAAAAGAGTCTACAAACAGGCTTTTTTTTGTATATCAGTGGTTCCCAGCTCGGCGTTTATGTTTCTAGGAACTCGTCGGTATTCGAATTAT